AAAAAAAGTGCACGCAAAAGCCGCAAATTCGACGGAGGCAAACACAATGACTTGACGGCCGACTCGCCAATTCGGCGTCAGTCGTCTCTGTTCGCTTCACATTGGTATGTACATACATATGCACATACATATGTATGTATGTACGTGTGTTTCATTCATTCGGCCATTGCGGTTGCCGCTAGAAAACCATTCAGCCATTAAATGCCGTTATCTGCTGATTACACAATAAAGGCAACAAGAACAACAAGTAAACTAACTTACCATGAGGCAGACATACATACATACATATGTACATACCTGTACTTACCGTCACACTTTGGTATATAAAGTTTTCTTAGTTGCACCGGCAACAGGAAAAAAAATGAGGAAAATACAAAAACAATTGCCATGACTTGCAAATAACCGCAATGAAGGTAAAATACAAAATCGATATATATATATATGTATGTATGTGTGTGTATGCACCTATAAAGGCAGAATTAAATTCAACAAAAACTCATAACAGTAGAAAATTTCCTCAATTCTTATATTCCGATTCTTCAAATCAGATTTTTCTAATGTAAATAAAGTGTTTTTGTATCCAGAACTGTACCGAGTATATAACGATTCGTATATCTCGACAATGTCATCAACGCTCCTTCTGATAACTTATTTGAAAGTTACGGGTTTAGGACAAATCATATTTTTATCAGAACTTGGTTTCTTCATCATTTCTAATTCGTTGTGATTTCAGAAGTAAAACCAAAATTTAACTCTTAAGCAGATATGCTCAACTAACGAAACGATGCAATTTCGTTTTGTTAATATGAAAAATATACTTAACGAAATGATTTTGTTTCGTTTCGGTGCCATATTATCGAAACGAAATAAAATTGTTAATGTCGAGACAGCACAAACTACAAACTCATCGTTAACTTTAATTTTCCAATGGCTGATGGTTATGATATTAACAGTACACTTGAATTTTAAAATTTATCATTATCTGTAAACGATTTAACGGTGGGTTATGAGTTCGAGTCCTGGTCTATGAAAAAAAAGATTCGAATCGCCCCAATTCCTCAATCCTTCCAAACGCACTGCACCCAAAGCCATTAAATTTCATAATTCACCTGTCAATTCAGTTTAAAACTAATTTAGGCAAATCTAGGATTACATGTAAGCCAATTTGGAAACTAACGGTTGCATGAAATTCCCAGCTGCATTTAACATTTTCAAATGTATTTTTGTATTTGTTTTTATCATTACCATTTATTACTTGCCACACTTCCTGTATTAAAGCTAAAAGCCATTCATGAATGTTCGGCTAAGCTTGTAAAATGCCGCTAAGCGTGCTAAGTAGAATTAAGCGGTCCACTTCGTTGCGTGCCTTCCTTGTACCGCTCTCCATTACCTTGACGTGAACTGGTTTCGATGTGTTTTCCATTGAATTTAAGCTTAAGCCTAGTGCTTGCAACCCGAATTTACGTGGCATTCACACATATTGCATTTTTCCGTTACACGAATTTTCGTGTCTGTTTGTATGCTGAGTTGTATGGCTGCGAAATAGTGCGATAGTGACTAACTAGGCGCCGACTTGTTTAATTTGCGCGTGATGTAGTAAAAAAAATTAGATAAACAACAAAAAAAAAAATAAACTTATTTAATTTAAAACCAGATCATATAAAATAGAAATTCGTAGATTGAAAATAAAATAAATATAAAAATCTAATAGCATCAAATTAAACAAAACAAAAAAATAAAAAAATAACCAAAATGAGTTAAAACAAAAAAAAATTAATGAAATAGAATAAAATAAATTTATATAAAATAAAAAAATCAAAATTAAATACAATAAACTCAAATAATATAATGTTAAAGGAAAAAAAATAAAAACAAATTAAATATTCTATAATAAGTTAAAGTAAAGTAATAATCAAATAAAAAAAAATAATATCAAATAAAATAAAATAAAATAAAATAAAATAAAATAAAATCAATTAAAATCAAATAAAATCAAATAAATTACAATAAAATTAAATTAAATTAAATTAAATTAAATTAAATTAAAATAAATTAAATTAAATTAAATTAAATTAAATTAAATTAAATTAAATTAAATTAAATAAAATTAAATAAAATAAAATAAAATAAAATAAAATAAAATAAAATAAAGTAAAATAAAATAAAATAAAATAAAATAAAAAAAAATAAAATAATAAAATAAATCCAATAAAATAGTATACGTTCATTTGAATTTAAAAAAATTTATTTAAATTATTGGGCACTTTTCTTCATTTTAAAGTAACTATATATATATAAATATTGTATAATATTTTGAAATAAAAAAATAAAAGAAATAAATTTCAAGTAAAATAATATGAAATTAAATACAAAGACATATATAATGCAGCAAAATAATCATATTAATAAAAGAACATGCAGTAGTGTTTTCTTTTAAATTATTTTATTTATCTCTATAACTTAAAGTGTCGAATGGGTCTCCACTTGTGCTTATTTTTGAATATTTTCATCCAAACACAAAAAAGCCTTAATTTGCTTAAAACATGTTTTTATAGTCTCTGTTGGTGCCGCCGAAATATGTATAAATATTTTTCGAACATGCGACCAGAAATACTCAAACCCTAGACAAATACTTACACTTATAGATGCACACACATTTACACATGTACATATCATATGTTCGATGCATTTTTGCATCTCAAAATTTGAAACGTTGCCAATTTTTGCTGCTAGTAAAAATTTTAATTTCAATTTCAATTTTTTTATTTTAATTTTCAACTTTTCTTATCGGAGAAACCTACTCTTTACTCATATATGTATATGCTCGTATGTATGCTTTTATGTATTTAACTTTGTCAGTTTTTTCCGCGTCGTCAAATACCGCTAGCAATTGCAAGTTGCAAACATTTGCTGAAAATGCCGCCCAACCGCAAGACATGCAACACATGCACACATACATGCGTCTCGTGCACCAACGGCAGCGCCCAAAAATAAACATTTCTCTCGTCGCAGCACTGAATTCGTGTTAAAGTTCAATGGACCCCGAGGCCCTGCACAATTTGTTGTTGTTAGTGGCTGCAATTGGCCACACGTTATATGCCACAAAGTGAGCGAGCGCGCGCGAAAATTGCCAGCAATTAATTGCAACACTAACACGCGAAACGATAGTTGTGATGTTGCCGTGACCTGGGCGACGTTTGGTACTTCCAATATTGTCCGAGTACCAGGTTCAATGTCCGTCCGTGACTAATTTACTTTTAACTTTTTATTTTCATCTATTTTCAATTTAACTTTTCTCTATTTTTACAAGGGAAAGTGTTAAGAAAAACCAACAAAAAGAAGCGCACTTTAGCTTAAGTAAATGCAATTTCAAGGTTTTCCACCTTAAAACAAATAACCTGACATTTGTAATGGAATTTCTGTAATAAGTAAATGTAAATAAAAAATAAAAATCAAAACTTACGTCAATGCCTTTCCTAGCCACAAAAACTGGACATATGATAAATGGAGGAAATTAATTGATTGGTTGTCGATTAATGTGAATTAATTAGATAATTTCCACATTGAGATTAAATTTATTTTATTCCAATTAGTTCCAAAAAATCCACGAAAATTATGGCCGTGTCGTGATGGTGACTTACTACTATCTTCGCAACATGTGTGAGGCTGGGTACATATCCAAGACGAGAACCCGAGTCAAAGTGATATTCATCCCGAAGGTTGGGCTCAGGTCGAAAGCATCTCGTAGAGACTTTAGACCAAGTAGTATTTACTTCTTTCTGCCGAATACCCTGGAAAGTCCTCCATTGTAAGGATTTTCCTGTAGGGGCTTTTCTCGACATTCAGCAGCCTTTATTAACATTATTTTCTCAAATATTTCAGAGCACAAAATCGTCGTGGCTGAATAAAAAATTTACGCCTTGAATAAAAAGTTAATTAATAGGAGAGCTCTCTATTCTCTGTTCGTTAACGAGGGTAAATTCGAATGTGCCTTGTATGGCCTCTTACATGAGCACCTAAATGTGATAACAAGATGAACGGCTAAAACTGGTATTACCCTAAATCCCAATAAGAAAAGGCTTTTTTACCCAAGAGGTATAGAGTCCTAGAAGTTATTTCTCAATCGATATGGCCGTTCGTCTTCATTTAAGTGAGAAAGGCAGTTACTTAGAAACTTAAGGAAGGATATAAGACAAAAAACCTGGATATCGCTAATACTAGCAGCTTAACGAACTGCTCTAGCACTGCTGTATATGGATAGTAGATGTTTAGGTGGAGCTAACGCAACAAAAGTCGCTGTAGTACAAGTTGGTGCTCGATTAAATCTTCAGCTGAATGGATTATTGTACAACTAAATGCACGTTCACCTAATGCCTTCAGCGGAGGAATGGAAGTAACTTAACTTATATACGGCTGGGTCAAAACTTGATGGAAACTCCATGACGGGAGTCCTATAATGCCGCATCGAGGAAGATTCAAACATCCAGGTCATCAGAATTAAGATATCGAGTAATATGGTAAGCCCGATGGGCCTACACATATGGGTACCACCGATTATAGGATTCTTCTTTCAAGGTGGACCGTAAAAGGTCCCATAATTTAAACTCTAGCACACAATATATTTCCGAAGCGAGCTTAGGCGGTTTCCGAATCCAAGCCTGCTATAAAGAAACAGTTAAGTTAACTTAGGTTGTAGGCCGGGAAAAAGTCGTCCTAGTCCTACTTCATTAAAGCCTTGAAAAAAAGTCCTGATTTGTCTATATGCTACTGAAATAAAAGCTTTGTTTCATTTATTTCTTGCATATATACATATTAAGGTATACAATTTAACTTAAAAATATGTAGTAAGCGATTGTGTGATTTTTCTGCAAGCGTTACTTACGATATAAAAACAAATATTACAAATCCATCGAGAACGAGGGAGAGGCTGAAAACTGTAGGTTCCTCAATATAAACCTTTAGTTAATTTAGATTAATATACATATGTATGTACAGACATATAGACCAAAATACTGTTATATTGCCGAAATACCTATTTTCATGTAAAATCACTTAAAATAACAACATTATCCAGGACTAACTATTTAGCGAAGTCTTCATATTTTGCATATCTCTACCCAAATCGGAGACTTCATACTTCCGTTTTCTAGGCGGCAGTGCGGCAACTGAAAGCACACAAAAACAACCATTAGTCCCAAATGCTAATTATTAATTACACCGCAAATTTGAACTGCTAACCTTTCTCTGTCGTTTTATTTTGCAGTCCCTCTTCCTGATCTTGATTTGGCTTATCTCTTTGCTTTCCATCTTGATTTTGTTTCGTCTCTTGTCTTTCCACAGACCCACAAGGCGTATTATTTCTTTGCTCTGCTGTTTCACAACATTGGCCTTTTCCACATGGTGGCGTCCAGAAATTTTTTATTTCCACCAATTTCAATTGCCCCAAATCACACATCCACGTAGCACCGTTCTCGTTTGTCTTAATGGCTTTTACAATATTTATCGCACATTCAGCTGGAGACTGTAAAGTATGTTTTCGTCCACGAGCATACCCTTTAAAGTCTATTTCCTTGCAGATAGAGGAGTTCATGCGGGTCCACTGGCTAGTTTCCGTGGGGCCGGGACAAATGGTGGAGAGAGTAATACCTGTTTTCGGTTTTAGTGCCTGTGGGGGGAAAGAAAATTTAATAATTAATCTCACGATTCAAAAATTTAAATGATATAAAATAAATTAAAAAATAAACTAAAATAAAATGAAATAAAAAAACAAAAACCTAAACCAGATTTAATATAATAATTTAATAATATAAGAGATAACGAAATAAAATAAATTAAAAGAGAGCAAAACAAATTAAATATATAAAAATAAATTAATCTCGGACGACTTCACGGATACTGCGAAAGGTCAGCCGCACTTAGAAAAAATAATTTTCTATAATTTTGTATCTTAATCGAATCGAATTTTGAAAGTAAACTCCATTCAATAAAAGAAAATCGAATAAAATAAAGTAAATTTTAATTTCTATTTATTTAATTTTAATTTAAAAAATAAAATACTATACTATACAAACAATAAAATAAATTAAACACAATAAAAAATAAAAATAATTATATTAAAGTAAACGAAATGAAATAAAAAAGCAAAATAAAAAAAGAAAGTAAAATGAAACAAAATGTAATAAAATAAAATAAAGTAAATAATAATAAAATAAAATTAAATTAAATTAAGTAAAATACAATACAATACAAACAATAAAATATAATACAATAAAAAATAAATTAAATTAAAGTAAACAAAATGAAATAAAAGAAAACCAAAATAAAATAAATGAAAGTAAAATGAGCAAAATGTAATAATATAAAATACAGAAATAAATGAAATAAAATAAAACAATATAAAATGAAATAAAATTATTTAAAATAAATAAAAATAAAATAAAATTAAAATAATTTATGTAATATAAAAAAGTGAAATAAATTAAATTAAATTAAATCGAATCGGCTCAAATCAATTCAAGTAAAAACAAATTGAATCAAAATGAATATGAAATGAGTATGAATAAGTTGAAATAAAATACAACAAAAATTGATTTAATATAATAACAATAATTTGTAAAAAATATAATAGTAACTTAATATAAAAAACTAAAATAAAAAAGACAAAATTAAATGAAATAGGATAACATGAAATAAAAATAATAATTATGTTATTAACATTAAAAAATTAATTTTGAAATAATGCAAAATATTAAAAAAAAGTAAAATAAATAAAAGAAAAAATTATTAAAATAAAAAAAACGAAATAAAATACTTTAAAAATGACAAATGAAAACTCAATTCGCTTAAATTTTGCCTTGTTGTTTCAACCGTTTTATGATGTGTTTTTAAGATACAAAATTTCTTTGTATAGTTCAATGAATCATCTCCATTATATAAAACTGGAATTTTGATTAAAAAAATTTATGGTTTGTATTGAAATTATGTTCGGCTTCAGATTCACTCGGTGAATTTGTGGTACATTCAAAGATAGCCAGGTGGAAACGCTAAAGATAAGAGAGTACTCATTTTACAAATACGACTGCAATCTTTTTTATTTTAAAAATTAAAATAAAATAATTTATTTATTTGTTGCAAATACTACTTTAATTAATGTAATCAATTTAGTTTGCTTAAATATAATTATAATTTAATCATTATTAGAAATTTATTTTCTTTTCGCTTAAACAAAAGAACCGTATTTTTTTTGTCGTACAATTCTGTTGGATTGCCAAAATATTTTGTTTTGGGAGTGGCTTTTAGCAGCCAAAAACTTTAGTTTATCATTTTGAGGTTTTTGCAAATGAGAACTCACTTCACTTTCGTTTCTAGCAGCTCATAGAAATACATATCTATAAGTAACGATATGTTGTAAACTAAAAATAACCCTCGTGAATACCTACTATCAATACAACGTGTATCTAGGCATATACCATACTCTCTTTTCTTTTTATATAATATACTTCGTAGTATGTATACGTACGAAGTGTATTTAAGTATTCAGCACAAGTGACCCTTTCATAAAAATTTATCTCTATTCTCTCCAAAGAGTAAAACCGCTATTAGAGAGTACTAAAATTGCTCATTTCTGTGATGGGATCAACTCCAATACTCACCGCCAATGCACGCGTAAAGGTTAATATGCCTCCCTTCGTCGCACTGTATATGGGCAATATTACAAAAGGTGTTAGCGCAGCTACGGACGCAATACTCACAATAACACCACCTCTGCCACCTTTACTCTTATCCATGTGATCGTAGGCAACGAGTGTGGTATTTATTGTGCCCATTAAATTTGTTGAAATTATTAAATCGAAATCTCTTTCCTCACATATGCCAACACCATTTATTAACACATCAATATGACCAAGTTTCTCCACTATTTTCGCGAATATACTACGAGTTTCAGCCAAGCCAGCTGTGACGTCAAATGCCATAAACTGGCAAACACTATTTGTATCGACCAGATATATTTCGTTGTAAGCCGATTCATTCCAAGTTTTATTGAGTATCATAAGATTCTGTAAATTTTCATATTAAATAATAGAAGGAGAGAAAATATTTATTTCGCTGTTTAATTGATAATCAATAACAAACCTACCGCGACACCATTTTTCACTAAAAGTTTACTTGTCTCGACACCGATGCCACCAAAACCACCAATATAAACAATATTCTTGCCGGTCAATTCCATTTGTAATTCCTCCATATTTATGCGATTTTTTTTACTCTCTATAAGTACATACATATGTACGAGTATGTATGTATCTGTCACTGCTTTATTTAATGTTTTTATATATTACTCGTTCGGTTTGTTACTTCATTTGTTAACTTTTCGGTTTCGTTTCACACTACTTCGCTTATCTAGCCACTACGTTATCTACAGTGTATATAATGGTGTACCAAAACAACCGTCTGCTTTTGGGTCCGAATTCTAACTGAACCGCTTATGGTGTTAACTTTTTGTGGTAGAACTCCAGCTATTGATTATAAGTTGAAGAGTTTTACATATATTATATTTTACTTGTTCATTTGTTCATTCATTTGTTCATTCATTTGTTATTATCAGAAGATAGTTATGCGTTCTTACTGTACGTCTAACAGAGAGCGCGCTCACATAGCGTTGATTACACACTACGAACGTGAGAGCACTGTTTCGCAGTATGAGTAACTTGTAATCTCTCCGAATTCCCGACCGGAAGCCTCATCAGAGCACTCAGTATGTTCTTTTTTGTGATTCACGGTTATCGCTTATCAAATAAACTAGATTTCCATTATTTCATAATGGGTGCCTTTTTTAATTGCTTATATGTATATCGACCCTGCAGGCGAGCGTTAAGGATTCGACTGAGCGAGAAGCAATTTTTACTCTTTTCATTGCTAATGAAATAAGGTGTGTTCGCACAGATGAATTAGCTGAGTTAAAAATAATAAAATTAATTTGAAATAGGACAAAATGAAATAAAATGCACTAAGCTAAAAGAAGTCAAAAAATAAAATAAAACTAAAAACTAAAATGGAAAATAAAAACAAAATAAAAATGGTTTAAAAAGTATAAAATTAATCAATTTAAAAAAAGACAAAAGAAGTAAAATTAATTAAATTAAAAGGATTAAAAAAAATCAATATATAGACTAAATGAAATAAGAAAAACAAAATAAATTAAAAATAATTTTAAATATATATAAGAAATATATATGTATTGTATAAAAAATTTAAAAAATCCAATTCCAAAAATTTTATAAGATGATTTTATAGATCTTTATTATTAAATCATTATTATTCGTATCTCTAATTAAATTAAATTGACAATGTTACTTAAATTTTACTATGTTATTTTAAACACATTGTTTAAAAATAGTTTATTTATAAATTTCATTTAAATATAATGATATTTTAAGAAAAATTAGTAAATTTTATAATTTCTCAAGTCCATAAAATTCCCAACTCATTTTGATTTCTAACGATTTTTGTTAACTGTGATAGTTAACCTATAAGCTAAGTTTGGTGTTCAAACACATGCAATTAAGTTGATACAATTAACGTTTAACAACTGATAAATTGCTTTTTGGTTATCGCAAAATTATTTTGACAAAATGGAGACTTTTTGAAATTTAAGTGAAATTGATATAAAAAATAGTATTTTTTTCCAAGTTTTAAGCTCGCTTTTTTCGTAAACAAAAAAAATTATTAGTCTAGCAAAATATTTTAAATAATTATAGCTAATGAGTTAAAATGTGTTCACACAGATCGATTAACCGAGACAATTAAGCTTTAATTTAGTGTTCACATATATGTATATATCTATGTATTAGAAAAATGGGATTTTATTAGCCAATATTAACCAGTTTTAGACTGCTAAAAACATAAATAATAATAATTAAGAAAATATGTGTGTAATGCACCAAAGACCATGAAGCTCTTTAGTTCGTTTTTCCCTGTATAAAATATATTATAAATCAATTGATATGCATATTATTAAAAAAATTTCAACAAACCTATGTTTTTCACAGTTTTGCATGTCAAATTTTACACTAATTTATTGCCAATTGGTTGCTAATTGCCAGCTAATTAATGTCAATTTTTACAAGACTCATTTTTTGCAGTTAATGACTTAACTATTAACATCTACCTGTATATAAATGCTCTCAATAGGCTAATTGGCTGCTTATGGGAACAGCATTTGACTATAACCTTTTGATGACTATTTTTAAAAAAATTTTGTTCATTTTGATGAAAGTTGGAATAGAAAATGATGAGAGAAGAGTTTACATTACATTTGTTTAATGCTTTAAATAAAATTGCAAGGAATTCCACGACATGAATTTTAATGAAAAATTGAAAACTTAACTAAGACTTTTGCTTACAAGTTCAGCAAACAATATTTTATTTTAATGTGTTTTGTTTGAGTAATAAATGTTCGTGAAGTGCTGCCACGATTATTACCTTTACATCGTATCAATTACGCGATGGCTCGTTCCGAATTTCATTTCCCATTTCTAATTGCTTAAAAAATTTTTACAAAGTAGTTCTAATTGACTGAAATATCTTTAGTGATATTCTTTAGGATATATATTGGCTATTTATTTAAATGTAAAAATGTAAAAGAAATATAAATTATTCTCTAACATAAAAGTTAAAATAAATATACATATGTACATTTTGTTATTCAGTCTATAAATTGTTGAAATACGCAATTGCATTTTCATTTTTTTTTTTTGATTTCTACATAAGCTTAAAGCAACTGCAGTAGCTTTTACAGTATGAGCTTGTTAGCCAGACATTTGAAGCTTTCGTTTCCTGGAACCCTTCTTGCTTGCATCTGAAAGCACATAAAAGTTTTTTATGTAGTTTATAAGTTCGCCAGAGAAACAAATAAGCAATCTCCACAGTGCATTTTGCATTCTAACTTTGTTCATTCTCTTGATTTTGCTGTTGCTCGTCCTGCTGCTCCTGCTGCTCGTGCTCCTGCCGATGGTGGGGTGGTGTCCAGAAATTCTTTATTTCCACCAATTTGAGTTGTCCCAAATCACACATCCAGGTCACACCATTTTTGTGCGCCTCAATTGCTTTTACAACATTCGCTGCACACGCCATTGGCGTTTGTGTTGAAAATGGCCGACCACGCATTTTTTCTTTGAAACACAACTCTCGTCCTTGGAAATGACGTACTTGCTCCCAATGTTTGGTGTCGGTAATGCCGGGACATATGCTATATAATGTTATGCCGGTTTTGGGCTCCAAGTGCTGAAATGAAAAAGAGAGAATTTAATTTAATTAAATTTGTATTTCAATTTGAAAAAAAATTAAATAATAAAAAATATTAGAAATTATGAATGATTTTTAAATGTTTTAATTCCGATATAGACAATTTCGAAAATAATTATTTGACTACCTTCTTGTACATTTTTATTAATCCTGCTTATTTAAATAAAGTTATATTATTTTTAAAACTCTCTTTTCTTTATTTCCCTTTAATTCTTTTTCATACTTTCATTTCATTATAAGAGTAAAGGTGATGTTATAATTATAATTATTCTGTGAAACTATAATAAAATCTACTGATTTTATTTTACACTTAATTTTCTTTCTAATTAACTAGTTAGTTAGTTAACTTATCTTTTTAAATTTTTTATTCATTTTAATTATTTTTTTCTCCATTTTTATGAGTGTTTAATTGAGCTTCTTTTGGATACACTTCTAATAATTTTTTTTTTTAATATTTCTGTAACTTTTTTTCCATTTTACTACTTGAAAAAGAATAGAAATTATCAACAAAAAATTGATTGCATTAAAATTGTTGCAATTCTCAGTTTTCTTTATCGATGTCGAACCCGTGTTCAAAGTCTAGTCGAGGGAATTCTTAAAATGGGATTTTCTGTCTGTTGAAAAGAAATTATTCTTACACGAAAGATGGCGCTGCGTTTGAGAAAAATTGTTTTTAGTATTTTTTGTGGTTACTCTGTTTTATGGTGTTTTAATAATTTTTGTATAGATATAAAATATTTGTTTTAATAGTCTGCTACTTTTTAGATATTTATAATTTTAAAGATTTTTTGTTGCTTTAAACTATTTTTCTAATACATATATATATTTATATATCATATATATATATGCATATATATATATATATATATTATCATATATAGCATTATGCTTTTAACATTAATTTGTTTTTTTTTCTATTTTTTAATGCATTAAATTATTATTTTTATTCATTTATTTACTTTTTTAATTCATTTGTCTGTGACCTCATTTGATTATTAATTATTATAAAGTTACAATTATAAATATGTACATACGTATATTAATTTATTTTTCCATTTTTTATTTATTTTTTCATTTTCGTTAATTAATAAATTAGATTGATTATTTTGTATTTTTTCAACTTATGAATTTATATATTTATTTAGTTCACTATTTTATTTCATTTATTTATATTTCTTTATTTACTCATTTGTTTTGAGTATTAGGATATTATTTTTTTGTTTACTATTCACTTAAATATTATTTACTTATTTATTTATTTTCATTAAATTTTTGAAATTTTGTATATGGTATTTATTTATTATTTGGTTTATTATTATTTATTTACATATGTTGTATATATTTATTTTGTTTTTATGAACAACTTGAAATAACGAATTTAAAACTGCTTAAGAAACCGGTATCATCATCACTTTAAATAACGCTATTCATCTGTTTCATGGTGGAATACGGTTTGCGTAAATATTTAAACAGATGTTTATACATAAATATGTACATGTATATGAAAATCAAATGTCTGTTTCTAATATTTCTATTAACAATATGCAAAAATATTTCGTATCCATTGTAAATACTCGAAGCAAGCATATGCACATATGTATTGTATGTGCTTGCATAGTTATACATGTGTATAATGAAGAAATCGCCCTTTAAATACTAGCTGCAGACGCACGAATTTTGTAATTATCGCTAATATTTTTTTTTTTTTTTTTTTTGTGTATTATCTTTATAATTCTGCACATTCTACTGATATTTCAAAGCAAACTAGCTTTAACCATGTATCAAGCACGTGACCAAACATAAATTTAATACATCTACATATGTAGTACATATTTCTAAATCACAAAAAAAAAAACCTCACTGCTTTCACCTACCGCTAATGCTCTGGTGAAATTCAGTATTCCACCTTTTGTCGCACTGTATACAGGTAATACAGGGAATGGCGTTAGGGCAGCTACCGATGAAATGTTCACAACCACACCTCCTTTGCCACCTCTGCTCTTATCCATGAGATCATAGGCAACTAGTGTAGTATTGATGGTGCCCGTAAAGTTGACAGCAATTATAATGCTAAAATCTTGTTCATCACAAATGCCCGCGCCATTAATTAGCACATCAATACTTCCGAATTTCTCCATTATTTGCGCAAATACTTGACGTGTTTTTTCCAGACCGCAAGTCAAATCGAATTCCATATATTGACAAACGCCAGCCGCGTCGATAGATCTGAGCTCTTTGCTTGCTGACTCATTCCATGTTTTATGTAGTATCATGAGATTCTGTAAATGTTTAACACCAATATTAGTATAACATTTATCATTTTTATTAACATTTGTTTTTACACTTAGTATGTTTTTTCTTCTTATTATTATTATTATTATTTTTTTTTTTTTTAAATGGAAAAATATGAATGCCAAACCTACCGCGACACCTTTTTGAATTAATAATTTACACGTTTCGAAACCGATACCGCCAAAACCGCCAATAATTACAATATTCTTGCCACTTAAATCCAATTTCACCTCTTCCATGTTGTTTTAATGTGCACAAAAACAATAATACAAAAAAAAAGACGAAAATTATTGTTTCAATTTTATTTTACACTAAACGCTATGTTTATATTTCTACAGCAATACTACGTATATACATATAGGTAAAAATGTATGGATTTACACGAAGTATGCTCAGAGTTCACAACCGTTCGCATTTACGTTCAAGCAGTGACTGAGCGCGCTGTGCTGTTGGCGCGTTGAGCACAACACACGTTGTGCCCGATAAAAAATAATATTTTATAATATTTAAAAGAATTTTCGCCAAGTCATCCTAAGCATGTTTTTTTATTATTATCCAAATTGCTAATTAGCTAATTTTTTTTTTTTTTCTATTTTCAAATAATGCATACATATACGCTCTCTGTGTGGTATTGTGCACGTACCAATTGTTTACCTAAATATGTACAAGTATGTATGTATATACTACAAGTTTGGACCGATCTACGAATAGTCTCATGAAACGAATGTACATGTGCACGAGTGTGTATGTATTGTACATACGAATACATACATACATATGTACGCTGCTAGAGCTTATCAGTGCTCGTAAGTTTTTTCTCTTCTCATACAAATTTTTGTCAAGTCATTGCTATCGCTCATTAAATCTGTATTGTATTTCCTTTCTGAGTGTCAACATATAAATGTTGTTAAATGAGTTTATATAGGAACGTATGTACATTTAATATATATTTATTTACGCACGTAGATATATTTATATGTGTAAATATTTTATGCATAAATTGCTTCCCTTTGCTTTTTTTTAGAATCCAAATAAGAGCTAAACTATTGAGATAATACAATACTTTTACTATGACGATGTGACGTGCTTTGTAGATTGTCTGAGGTGTTATATACCCAAGATTTTAAGTCCAAAGTTCAGTTCTTAAATTTTTTATGCAATTCACACATACTAAGATTATATATGTACATGTACCGTTGGATTTAATGAATTCCGCGTTACTTACAATGAATTGAATGCGTGCCTAGATTTTATTACAAAAATTTTTATATATTGTGTAAATTTTCCAAGCATGTAAATTCTTCAGTCATTAATTACATTTATTTACTTTTCCAATTTATTATTCAATTTTTCTAAGATAAAATATTTTATCTTGAAATATATATTTCGTTATAGTGCAAAAATTGCTTTTTACAAATTAACTGAAAGATTTTTTTTTGTTACTTACTGTTTTATTTTTGTTTAAATTAAGTACGTATATTTTTTTTAATTTTTTTAAAAATACTTGTTGTTTTATCCTTAAATAAAATGTCAAATCTAAGAATTTTTTATATGTATTTCTTCGCTAGACGGAGAAAAAAAAAGAATGAGTGAATCCGATTTCTGCTTTACAAAAGCTATCGGAATCTCGAGAGTTTTTTGTTTTTTTTTTTCATTTTGAATTTTTTTGTTTCACTTATTAATGCATTATTCACTAGTAAGTGGGAATAAATCAGAATAGCATGCCAATTACAAGTCACATAAATTGAGTTAAAATATGTATATAGATTTTTGTATAATAATAATAACAGTAATCAAAAGTTAGCCCCACCTTCCTGTTATGACCGATATTGGAAGTGATTACCTATTTCATTGGACGTGACAACAAAATTTTTCTTCTATTTTAATTGAAAGAAAAGTGCAGCTGAAACCCATCGAATGGTTTCGATTATTCAAAAGAGGTGATTTTTGCATCGAAGAAGAAAAGCCTTAGTCCTTCCAACTAAAGGCTTTTAACAAGAATAAAAAGCGATTTGTCTTTCGGGTCTTTCAAAGAAATCGAGGAAGTACTCAATGATTAGATTGAGGACAGCAGGACTTTTTTGGAGATAGTGTTTTCTGCCACACAATGGTTAGTATTTTAGATCGCTCCGTTAGTCGGAAAAACTTCAAGACGCAAAACCGCAAATCAGAGCAGTAGCTCGGCCGTTACAAAGCGCCAATTTTATTTTATCGATTATTGCCAAAAGGACTGCAACAAATAGTTGCAGCTGACGGAAAGTACTTTGAATGATGTATTTTTTTATTTACTTTTTTTTTAACAGAAAACACTTTTTCCAAAATAGAAAATGGACCGAATTAGTTTGTATTACCAATTCATGCGCTTATTATAATTTTTTCTTTTAGACTTTTATTAATTTTTATTTATCTATTTTATTAACTAGTGTAATTTATTTTTTATCATTATTTGTTAATTTATTTTATTACTTACTTGTTTACTTATCATGTTATTCATAATTTTTATTTTTTTTAATTATTTTTATTTGTTATTTCATTTACATATTCATTTTGATATTACGTTTTAATTTTTTAATTTTATTTTTAAATATTTTATTTGATAAGTTTTTTATTTATTTATTATTCTTATTATTTGCTTTGCAGTTTTTGCTTTCATTTAATTTTTTTTTTACAACACAGACGGACGAACAAAGAACGTACAGAGGGACATGATAAATCGATTCGTTTTGTCATTCCATTAAGTTTGATATATGTATACAAATATATTTATATGTCCATATCTAACTCGATTATTTTATGCCGTTATATACAACCGTTAGCTGAGCAAACCTAATATGCTCTATATACCTAGTGCTGCCGAGTATAAAGTACTAGAGAGTAAAAAAATGTACTACCACTAATGGAAAAATAAGAAAAAAATATATGTAAATGATCGTACAGAACAAAATATTGCTTTATTTAATTAATTTTTTTTTCACTGGGAGAGCCCAAATTTATTTTAATCGTCGAAATTTCTTTACTTTAGTTTTTCTCAAAATAGTAACAGTAAGTGGAAACAAGGTGCAAAGTGCTTTTTGCTTTTAACCGCAACACCGTTAAAGTGCATAAGCGGTTCACGTGGCCTAAAATCTTTTTTTTCTTATCAATCCACAAAATTACTGCTAGTAGAGCAAAAACTAAACTTTTTTCTCTGAAGGATTTAATCTATTTTGTTGAGTAAATTGTGAAACTCAATTACTCTCTTACAGGCCTATTCTGTCGAGGTAACAAAATTTACTTTGGTATTAAAACTTACCATTCAGTAAATTTTGTTACTATTCCGCATTCTGAGTTCACTGTCACCCTGTAAATATTGTTACCAGCGAAATAGTTGGTAACAAAAAATTTCTTTTTTGATTTTGTGTTGTTAGTTTGAAAAAAAACCCCAAATGCGTTTCTAGGCCTGAGATTCATTGGATTGAGAAGTATTCGAGAAAAAAATTACCCCTTTAATTTGGAAGATAGCGTTTTCATTCAGTTTTTTTTGTCGTTTAGGCATATTTTCTAAAATTAGCTTAAAATATTTATGGTTTAATAAATAAATAAATAAAACTTATTTATTTTTTATTTTTTTACTTTACCAACTGGCAAATGTAGTTTGACAAGGACAAAAAATCAGTGCTGCCATAGTTTTTTCAAACATTGTAACTCGTACGACAGAATACCAAATTCAATTTCGGGTATTAAAAAAATGTAACAAAATTTACTTTACAGGTAACAATGAGAATAGGCCTGTTAAACATGCTCAGTGAGCGCTCAGTTCGCTGAACGCACCCACTAATGATCACTACTTGGTATTCAATCGAAAATTCTGTTAATCACCTTAAAGAATTAGAGAATACTTTTGTTGATCGGAAGTCACTTAAACATGGTTTTGAGTCTGTTTGAATTTTGGTGTTACCGATAGATGAAAAGGGTGTGATAAGCTGAGAAAAGAAGTCGCCTAAATCGGAAACAGTGGAATGCATTATTTCTACTACATAAGGGGGTTTTTTGCCGCAGCTAAAGATAAGCAGCCACACACAAGTTTAGATAACGATTCGGCCTTCTACGATGCATTGCACTTTTTCAACATTATCAACAACCCCTTTTTATACGTACTTAGATAAATATTTTTCATAAAAAAAATGTTAAAATGACAATCGCTTTTATTTACACTTTAAACAGTAAATAAAAAAACTTGGTGATACGTACAGTCAGCATGAGTTACCATTTTATATAATTTCAAGGAAGCGTAGTTACTCAAAAAATCATAAAAAATATTATCAATTCTGATACAGATGTCGAAGATACCATGAAGGTGCAGAAATTTAAAGAAAAGGTAGAATTTTTCAAAATTTGCAACAATCATGCCAACAATTTCGTCACGAAACGATAAGCTTATTTCAATCAGTTGATTGTCACTTGAGCGTTTGATTCTTTTTTTTTGTAGGTTATAAAAACTTCAATTATGTTATAGCAACATTTTTTTAGCGCGGAGTTCAGCAATAGCTTTCGTTATGTGTTAATTCTGCAAAAATTTTTTCTATATATTTTTTGCCAATTTTTATTATTCTTCTTTTCTTCTTTATTGGCATTGGTACCGCTTACGCGATTATAGCCGAATCATTCCTCTCTTCTTTCCGCTGTCCGGCGCCACTTGCAGGTCTTTCTCTTACTTTGCTTCCACCAGTGGGTACTGCATCGATTACTCTCAAAGCTGGAGTGCTTTCATCCAATCGAACGACGTGACCTGGCCTGCGTAGTCGCTGACTCTTTATTCATTGAACTAAGTCAATACCATCGTATAGCTCATACAGCACATCATTCCATCGTCCGAGGTATTCGACATTGCTAATGTGCAAAGGACCATAAATCGTTCGCAAAACTTTTCTCTCGAAGACTCCTAGAGCCGACTCATCAGATATTGATGTCGTCCACACTTGTGCGCCATATATGTCGAAGGGCGGGTATGATGAGTGACTTGCAGAGTTTAGTTTTCATTCGACGAGAGAGGACTTTACTTTTCAATTGCCTGCTCAGTCCAAAACATGATTTTGCGATGGGTTTCAATTCAGCTGATTTTTATTATTACTTAAACGTAATTTAGAGCGCCACACAGTCTCACTGATTCAAAAAAAAAATTATATGACAAGGTGACAATGAAATTTTTTTGTCAATGACAACTAGGCAGCCTGTATGTATAAATAAATAAATAAAATTTTGTTTTTTTTAAGTGCCACTTTATCTTTATGGTACAAAACAATTTTGTAAAAAAAAAATGATAAAAAGGTCTTTGGACTTTTAAAAAATAAATACGTTAATAAGTAATGAGGGATTCTCTCATATCATTTGATATTGGAAGTATTATCCCTTGAATATATGTGACTAATATTCTTACAACAGTGGGCTAGGTAAAGAAACAACAGCGTATTTTTTTAATTTCTCATAGCAATT